CTCTCTTTTTTCTGTTACTTTTATACAAAAAAAAAAAAAAAAAAAAAAAAAAAAAAAAAAAAAAAAAAAAAAGGAAAACGTGTTGATTAACCAACAGGAAAAAACCCAGAGCATTGCAAACTATGCAACTGCACTGCCATGAAGATTTTCTGCATTTCTTACTGTGCAAGATTTGATAAGAAATCATTTTCCTCCTCACGAAGTACAAACCCAAAATCAGAACACACAGGTACTGAGACAAAAGCATTAATCAAAACTTACCTTAATGTCTTGCTCTGAGCTATCAGTTACAGCTTTCTGAGCAGCACTGGAGAGTGAATTTGCCACCTGTGGCTGAGCTTCTAGGAGCTTCTTTAGCTTCAAATCCACCAACTTACTGTTTTGTTCTGCTAAATATGCAAATACCACATACAACAGAGTGAGATGCATTTAAATACAGAGTCGCTACAACAATGTAGCAATTTAAAAGGTAGATTTCATTCACTTTACTATCATTTCAAACTAAAAAAGTAAAAACTAGAAGGAAAAATTTTTTTTTGCAAATTGGATTGGCGTAGATTTGTGTAACATATATAGAAAACGCCTAAGTTCTCTCCAAAAAATACATGTAATACTCAGTTGAACAAGTAAATGTGCTTGAAGACAGTAGATGAAAAAACACAGAAAGCAGACAATGTTTACTTTAAGTTACTCCCAACCTGTACATACCTAGACTTTGGTATAAAAACACACTTAAAGAGCCATTTATTTTAAGATGACATATAACAATTTATCACATATTCCATGTACTGATAACCCTTCAAGTTTATGAATTACTCATTCATCCTAAGGCTCCGTGGCACAGCTTCTCAATGTTAAAATTTCATTATCAAAAGAGACAGCTTTCTAGTAACATTTTACTATGATTTATAGAATATGTTGAAGGCATGAGAGCTGTAAAATGCTTTGTAACTGTACTGAAGGGACAGATTCAAAGTCTGCTAAAGCCCCAAAATTTTTTTCATCAGTTTTAGCAACTTGGATCAGAGCCCAAAGAAATAAGAGAATTTTACCTCCCAATAACGTTCATTCTGTACATGACCATTGACTATATGAATTTGTAACACACCTACACACACAGTTACCTACACATACACACATAATAAGGAGAAAGGTGTTAATAACAAACCGCAGCACAGATTTATGGAGCTAACCCTGGGTAGGAAGGCAGAATAACGCTGGCGCAGAAGCCCCCAGACATACTCTACATGCAGCACCACGGAAGAAATCGCCCCTGAAACGCAGCAAATGCAGCATCACCTGCGTATATTATGCATGTACATCTGGGCCTTGGGTCAAACACAGAGAAAGTAGCAGTTGCTATGTTTTTCTATAGGCACAGCCCGAGTTTTTCACTGCAGGCTGGTAACTTCTAGCTGGTGTGGGAAGTGGAGCCATGACTGTTTTACTGCACAGCTCCTTCCAAGGTTTGGAGTGCTCCAATTCACGTTAGCCAAAATATTTTTGGCATGCTGGCAATGAAATGATGCCTGACTGTAGCAGCAATGGGCTGGGTTGGGTTATGACGAAGGATAGTTTCCCTTTCCTCTGGCACACCCAGTCAGGGTGCCCTTAATTGAGGCTCACATGTAAGTACATGCACATTCTCGTGGGTTTATACATAAACATCATGTAATAACTATGATATAAGAGGTTCACATTTTATCAGATACATTCACAGCAGCGTATGGTAATAGTACTGACAAATACAGACAGATGCAATATTTAAAACCAACAACTGGCAGTAAAAGTAAAAAAAAAAAAGTTTTCTCTTCTTGAGAGAGATGGGAGGGACTAAGATTCAGCGGGAAACAAATTAATTAAGATGGTCGCAATGATCCCAAATGTGAAATGTCCCTTGCAGTTGTGCATGTAGGTGCTCCCAGGAGATTCAGCCTTCATCAGAACTTGGTATGAATTGGCAGAATCCCACCGAAATCTGTGTACACTGATTTCTGTCACAGCATTAGACTGCTTTCTGTATTATTGCCCATCCCCTTCCTTACTCGTTCATCCCTTTGACTACTGTGCAGACTAACTGCAAAGTGATGTCTCAGTTTTTTTCCAGAATGTCTTCCCATGAATGAAGCATTTGGCAGTGGGTTTGTAGGTGATAGATGAAGCGTTGGGTAGTGGGTTTGTATCCCTGAGAAGGTCTCTCTCAAGAAAAAAGGGTCACAGAAATAAACGTGGGTAAATCACTGGGGCTATGTGACAGGAATATTCATTTACCGATTTTCTATTTCTCCTAAAATGAACCAGTATTTATTGGAAAATTATTTGACAGGATTCTGCTCTAAATCAGCTTAGCTCAAATGCTGGAAACACTAAATATATTTTCTTATGTGTTTGGAAATCCTCAAATAAAAAAAAATAAAGGATATGACTCAAATCTTTCACATCTAAAAAAGACTAGAAAGAAAAGGCTATATACACATCGCTGTCAGTTTAATGTACAAAGAGCAAACACTAAATGAAGTCTTTTGATTCAATATATTATGGGCTACAAACTTGGGTCCAGTTGGCATGGGCAGAACCAAGTCAGAGGATGCTGTAAGAAGTTCTCTCTAGCACTGCCTTTATCCCGATGCTGTCCTGGGCTTGCTGCACTTCTCCAGGCTCAAGCTAACTTGTAGGGAGCAGAAACGCCCTGGCAGAGAAGCACACCATACTACAAAGAGGCTCTCAGCAATGCCGAGGGCCGCTGGTAACAGGCAGACTTGTACAGAGAACAAACTCCTTCAGTAACTCTCTGTGAACAGAGGAGCCCCTTACTGATGGGCAATTACCTTCACATCTTTGATGATCTAGCACCTTTTTAAATATGCATCTCCCTTGTAAGATCCTGACATATTTATCATCTATGGAGGAACCTGAACTCCAGTTTTGCTTGATTACAATTTTTGAAATGGGAAATACCACTACTATGATTTATTATTACTTGAGCAGCATGTGCTAAGATTACACAAGCACTTCTACAAGAATATGAATGCTTTTAATGTGTTATTAAAAATCTATTACTTGAACTTTGTAAAGTAAATAGGACTAATTCTGTTCAAATTTATACCTTCACGTCCCCACTGGAGCAACAAGGTATAAATACAAGAACTGGTCCTCAGGAAGGAACCAGAAGGATACCAAGCCTACATGGAAAGAGAGACATGCTTGCTCCTCTTCACTGATGACACGGTCCAGGATGTCAGTGAAGAGAGCAGCAGCTGTACTCACCAACGCGATTGCTCACTCCTCTGGACTGCCCACCTTGCTTTGCTGGGACAATCCAGGGAGGATGATTTCAGGTGTCTCTGCTGTACAAATCTGACCTGGGGTGCCCTTCCCCGTGAAACAGCAAGAGGCATTTAAATCTGCCATTGTTGGAAATAATGATTTTGTTGCTGATTTTAAATTTCAACTAAACATGAATGCAAAACATCGAAAAAGAATAAGCATTAGGGTTTAAAAGACCTGAAAAGGCACAAAGGAATAAAGCTATGACAGAGAGAAGCAGCACATCAGTACTTATATGATGACGGAGTGTTAGTCATGCAAAATACACAAAATAGCCATTATTTAAATTACCCGTTGAATCAAGGTCATTTTCTAGGTTAGTAAGCTCATCTCCACCTCCAGTAACAGAGCATTCAGGAACCTCCTCGTTAGTATCTATCTCAATATTATCATCATCCTCATCCTCATCTGTAGGAACATACAGCATGAAGGTTAGTATTTTCTTATGTACATGCACCACATCACTAAAAAAAATGAATGCTTTAGAGAACAAGCTGAGTTATGATAAAAATGCAAATCATTAAATAAGTCTGGAAGGAGATTTCACTCTGTCCACTCATGGATTTATCTTTAAACTGATGCAATTCAGTATACACACAGGGGGCTCTGCTGGAAACACCTGCTACAATAAAAGTAGGGTCTGGCCTCAGCAGTGGCTGTTTTCTGCGCTGAATCTCTGGTTAACTCTGAAAAGCACATGTGCTTTTCCTTATAACTGGATTCAGAATAATTTCCCCTAGGCTCCCAGTTCTCTATAATGCAGAATGGGTGCTGAAGCCGGCATACAGCAGGTTTGGATGGGTCTGGCCCACAGAAGGACCTGGGAGCCGCAGTCTCTTGAGAAAGGCAGCAGCTCCGGGTACCAAGTTCCCAGCTCAGTGAGACTTGCTACTCCTTACTTTGCACAATATATCGTAGACCAGTGATCACTGTACCTTGCTTAGGTGTTAGCTTTTCCTACCACTTCTGATACGAGGAGGAGAACTACCACCCGGAACATCACGCTTAGCAAGCGCTGACCTCAGGTGTAACAATAGCACACTCACAGATTGCTGCCTTACTGCACTACTTTGAATCAGCATTGTTTGTAAGCTACGTACATTTTAAATAAAATAATTGTAATTATACTTTATATTTTTTATGAGATCTTTCTACCGAGTTTCTCAGAGCAGCTTATGAATATCACTTGTAAATGAGCCCCATAATGTTTTATGAAGTAGGCAATTATTATAATTACAATTATGATGATGATGTAGGTAAATTATGGCACAGAAAGAGTAAGTAACCTGAGGAAGATCAAATAGCAAGTGCTGAATCGTGAAGCAGATCCCAGAAAAAAATCCTGACTCACATTTTCAATACAAATATATAATGAAATTGAAGTCTATAAAAGCTAGATTAGTACTTTCGAAGCATGTAGTTGCATTGTATTTACTCACTTTCAAGTCTCATATCAAATGCTATCTACACTTGTTCAGACTTATATGAACATTTTTTTCCTATGTATGTATGCATGCATGTAAAAATGACAAAAAAGAGAAGGCTGGAGTGTGTCTGGAGAAAGAAGACACATATAGTAACTAAAGGAACTTTAGAACACTTCACAATAGGAAAAAATACTAATTATAATTACTGGACATTGGTACATTCAAACGTCATATAAACAAAAAGGATCCTAAACATAGCACCAAGATGCCATAATCCTGAATACCAGAAGTTTAGACCAGGATTGGTGCTGATCACTCATCATCTGTCTTTGAAATACACTAAACCTCATCCCCAGACCTGAAGTTTGCACTTCAGGCCCACATTGCTGACACGAAGGTCATACAGTTATTTCTTTTCCTTACCCCTCTATCTCCACAGTCCCTATAATTCCCATTTTAGGAGCCTGTTGACTTTTTTATATGTCTGCTACTCTTTTCTAACCAGCTGTTCTCTCAGTTCCTCTGTAATTAATCAATGTCTTTTGCAGACCTCTGCCAATTCAGGGTAAGGCTCTTGCTGCGACAGACAGGAGCAAAGAAGTTTCCATTTCAGTGTCTTATTCAACATCTGTTGCATGTATCATGGAGCAACAGTAGGACCCCTCTGTTTCAGCTGACCACCATGATTTCCCTGGGCTCCTCTCCACTAATTCTCAATGGTCCCTGGAAGAGCCAGCTTTCTTCCAAACTGCCCCAGCTTGAGGCAGATGGATGGAGAAGAACATCTCTCCCCAGCCAAACCAGGATCTGCGACCAGACCTGGGACCTGACAGATGGTGCTTCAGGTGTACAGCTGGGTGGGCAAAAACACTGAGGACTCTCTGCGACATCCTTTCTGTTCCCACTTCAATTCACACAGATCGTTCTGTGATCTGGACTCTAGTTGTTTCAGGTAGTGCAGAGGTAGGTGAACAAAGTAGAAGGGCACAGTATGAACATCATGAAGTGGAGAAAGGGATGGGGTAAAAAGCACACTGAAGAGAAAACAGAGAATGGTAAAGCAGCAACAGCAACAATTCTGAAGTTTTGAATTTTCTTCAAAGCTTCTCTACTTTTTCTAATGAGGAGCTAGACTTCTCACATGATTTTCAGTCCTTCATGATTGTGTCAGAGAAATTCAGTGGCACTCAGGCCATGGTACTCTCAAATGTATCCTGGAGCTCACAGTGGCACACTGAAAGCATGACCGGGCTAAAAGCAGCAAAGGGTCATGGACATTTGGAAGAGGTGGAAGAGAAAGAAAGAGGGACACTGCCGCAGCAGAAGGAAGCCAAATCCACCTCGAGCCTAGAGGCAGGCAATGACTTTCCAAAGCAGCCAAAGAAAGTCAGCTCACAAGGTCAGCTCACAACTACCAGTCATCCAGCAGGATGCTGGATGTGTCAAAACAATCTCAACAAGATGACAGGGTTTAAGACTGCTGCCTACTAAGGGAATGCTTATATTAGATTATTTGATTTTCTTTAATTTAATATAGTGAGATGAGATCAGAGGCACTGACTTCGACACCACCATTTTAGGTAACAAAAGAGATGGGAATGTTGAAGACACCAGTTCCTAGTGTCAGATAATGACCTGACCTAGTATTTAAATTAAATTTGGCAGGCTTTGACTGGATATTATTATCAGGACATTTACACTTTATTAAAAAAAAAATTCAATTAAACACATTCATTTGAAGTAATTTCAGAAATTTTCAAATATCTTTCAAAATCTACAGATTCCTTGTTTTAAACTACTCTAGCTTTTTTTTTTTTCCCCAGTCCAATGTTCTTCCAGTGTATTAAAAAGGGAAATGTGTTTAGGGAGCATGTTACAACAAGATCTTGCAATTATAAATGATAAAAGGAACAACATGACGAAGAGATAACAGATATCTTTTATGAAAAGAGCAAATTACTAGTGTGAAAAACTTAAAGCACTTGGTCTAGAACCAGGGCACGTATTTAGAAGACTACTAAAGAACTGCTTCCTTGAAAAGTATGTAAATCTGGATCCTAGAAGGACAGCAAAGCTTTACTATGTCGTGAAGAAACAAACAAAATTAAAGATAAAGGATTAAGTCAACAACTAAACAGCACTGACCACTACCTACACAGCCTGGACTGCAGTCTGGACTGAAGAAAGTGAAATAAGAATAGTTTGGAACCAAATGGAAATGCCAGAATATTGGTGGAAAAAAGATCCAGAGGCATTCAATAGCTCATATGTCTTACTATTCAGATTAAGCTCAAGCTTAATTTGTGGTTAAATTGATATTCTCTTGACTTGGTTTAAGCTTGTCCACATGTGAAGGAGTTGCAGCAGACTGCATGAATTCTAGACAAAATTAAAAAGGAACAATTTTCATAGAGAGGTAAAAGCATTGATGGGGGTTGGATCACATTAGTGGGAGAAGCATATGTAAGCTGTCACTGGAGTTGCATGAACAGTACTTGCTCTTTAGGGAAGATGCCTCCAGGATTGTCTCTGGGAAATCCTTCAAGTTTGTGGATATTCAGATATTTAGTTTATTTACTTTCAGGTAGACAGTTCACTTTAAGGCTACAGGATGTGACAGGAGCATCTCAACAGTAATAGAGGAAGCAAAGGTGGGGAATGGAAGAAATGCAGAGTTGAAATACTGGTTCAGTGTACAAGAAATCAGATGTCAGGACAAGAAAGTACAGCAGTAACTGCCAGCAGATACAAATACTGCCTGTTAAAAATATTAAATTCAGGACTTAACACTGTTTTATGAGTTGGAGACTAAGCATGATGAGTAAGCCTGAGCTACCATGTACATTCCCTCCAAATTATTGCCTCAGCAGTAAAATCTGTAACGTACCCTGAAAATTGTAAGCATACAAGTGCAATGCAATGCTGGTTGGCTCTCTTTGGTAAGTTTTTTAACTGCAGTACACCTTTCCAGCTTTTGTTATTAATTCCAAAATTTTTGAAAACTTTTTTTGTCTTATAATACATTTGGATGCTGCTTCTCCTGTGTTTTCCCTCCCTGCTCTTCTAACATCTCTTTTCTGTGCCATTCTTGTGTTTATTCTCTTTTCCCCTCCCAGTTTTGCCAATTTTTGGCACTTTTTTTCACCAGAGCCTCTTCACACTATGCTTGTCTTACCCCCTGTCTTCTCCATTGTTCCCTCCCTCCCCTGCCTACTCACCACCTCCAGATCCAAGCCACATCCACACAAAGACACCATCTCAAAAAAAGGATGGAGATGTGCCAGAGAGTAAAGAAAACACACCACCCAAATCCCAAAAGAGTAGACGGGTGTCCCACTGCATGGGGACAATACCTAGATAAGATGTCAATTCCTTTGTGTCGTCGCTGCTGGGAAAAGGGAGGATATTTGGATTCCTATCTTGATACTGTCCCTGGACCCATATCTCAAGGCATCCACTTACCAGCCTGCAGCTAGTAGGACATCGAATAAATTTGAAGCTGCCATCCCAAACCCTCTGGCAGTTGGCAGGAAGAAGTATTTTGTGTCTCACACGTCAAATAACCTATGAAAAAGACTGGATTTTGTACCAAAGGATGCTGCTTATCCAGAAAAGTTTCAACTTGCCATAGGCATTTGAGTTTTTCAGACCATGATTAAATAAAGCCTTTTAACAGAATGTAGCACCAGTGCCAAAGCATGAAACTCTGGATGAGCATATAGAAACACTGGAAGAGATCACATTTTCACCTACAATAGTGAGCAAGAAGTTAGTCTTTAAAAACTCCAAAATCCTAAAGCTGAAATGTCACTTTTTTCTGGAATAACTGAATTGAGAGAGAGAAAAATGATTTGGTACATTCCCTTTTTGTAAACTAAAATGTAGCAATCAATGCAGAAGAAGAGATTAATGAAGCATAATGGACAAGAGAGTTTGGAAGACATAAGATATTACTATAAACTTGTCTTGCATATTGTATACAGGACTATACACAGAAAAAAACCTACTACATGCGAATGCAGTCAGGGGCAATACTCAGAATCCAATTGTAATAAGGAGTTTGTCTATGAAATCCTAATTTTTGGTGGAAATCAAAAAATGAAAAAGACAAAACCCAGAAATAATTGTAATTTATTTGGTTTATAAAGTGTTGGTGCCATTTCACAGAACTACCCCATTTTAGAAAAATGAATTTCTTGAGTGGAGATCTAGTGTGGCACCTGACATTACCACCAGTGTGGTAGAAGTATGTGGAAGATGTGCCATTAGGAAAGCTTTTTGAGAATGAATAAGTAAAAGAAAGTGCTATAAAATGCACATTGACATGAAAAGAACAAAGATCAAATAGCTTGGCTGAACTACTGTATGAACAAAGAAAAATCCAGGTAGGAAATATAAACCAAGGAGATAACTCAGAGCACATGCAAAAGTAGAAAACAGTGAAATTGTTATACTGGATAAAACCCAACAGGTATAGTGGTGATAACTTTATAAACAAGCTGCCATCAGTACTGATACTGTCTCCTCCTCTAATAGCACTGAAACTCTCTGAGTGCATATGTAATCTATATATATACTTTTTTTTTTTTAAATATATATGCACAGTGCAAAGCTACCTCTGAGACTGTTTATAAACTGAACAAACGGCAGGAAGAACAATGGCAAAATTCAGAGGAAAATATGAACAGGGAAGGCTACATCCCAGAAAGCATCATACTGGGATATTTAGCAACACTATAAGTGAGTCGCTGTGACAAAACAGGCTAACTACTATCCATCTGAGCACTCAGGAGATACCCAGAAAGTATCTTACTATACCTTACTTGGAGGGGAGAGACGGCAGGAGTAGCTATGTACAGGCACGATAAACAGTGAGGAGGAAGTAATTAAATAACGTAGGACGGGGAGTCATAAATTGTGAAGAGGGATGAAGAACACCATAGTCTACTTAATATACAAGTACTGCGCCATTTTGCTCAGCCTGTCTTACTCCCTCCCAATCAAGGATGTAATTTCCCTATTTATCACAAAAGAGAGTTATGTTGGCAAACTTGGTTTACTGGGCAAAGAGAGGAAAACTGAAGACCAGACCCAAAGGGAGATGTACAACTAACTGCTTTTCTCTTTGGTGTTAAATGGAACAGAAGTGTAGGGTTTATGGTGCAATAAGACTATATTTAAATATATATGTGCATATAAAACACACGTAGTAGAGAAGAAAAAAAAATATCGTTGTTGAATCTATGTGCATTGTGAACGTAAAGCTGGATTTTCCTGACACTTTGGCTTACAATTACGTGTTAGTATGAGAAACACAGCTTCCCCTTACAATATGTAGAAGACATTAAAAGAGCAAGAAGCCTGTACTGAAACATGTGCTCAGCACCCATTTGAGTTTGAGTGACACTACATTACTCCAGCTCGTAGCACTGGCAGGTATATGAATTTTAATGACATTTCAAAGTCAGTTTAATAACATTATAGCAATATTACAACTCAAAACCTGTAAAGGCAAGTGGTATGTCAAAAGACTGCCATTTAAAATCACAAGGTTGTTGCCCCCACCTCCTATGGTCCACCTTTAAAATTCTATTCCCAAGCAGTCTTTTGAACACATTTAATACAAAATAAAGTTTCTTAAGTATTTCTAACATTGTTTTCCCCCAAAATTATGTCCATGTTCCTATATGAAAATATATATTGAAGAGATTTTAACCAACAATCATAAAATTCTAAAAAACTGTGGGTAACGACAGATCTGTAAATAATGGGCCAATATGAGCTACTTGTTCACATAACATCTTTTTCTTTCAATCACATATATGCTTTTGCTTTAATTGCTGGAAATTAAGTGACACAACACTGATTTAGGAAACATATCTACGGCCAGGTCTTTTGATATGTGCACCTGATGAACAATGTTTTGAAGTGTGAATAAAAGTGATACCCAAAAAGTCTTTGGTTTCTAGGTTGCCATAGGAATAAGATACAAGGTTCCTCAGCTCACCTCCAGATGCCTTTGACCTTTCTTTCAACTTTTCTGCAGCCATTTCACTGTAGCTAGGAAGTTCTGACATCTTCACTCCAGATCGAGCTTCTGCTATTAGCTGACGAGCTCTCTCTCTCAGCTGCCGACGCCGCTCTTCATCTTGCTGCTAAGATATATTGAACAGTTGCCAACTCAGTAATTGACAGAAATGCAATTTCGTTCTCAATCTGATCATCATGATAGTAACTGGTTTACAGCATGGTGCTTGGCCCACATTATAAATAGGATGCTCGATATCAGTTGGGTGTCACACCACAATATTTAAAGACATCTATGAATCAAATTTTTTTAAAGCATTCCCCAAATTATTAATGTGTTAGAAACCTAATTATTTGCAATTTAAAGCGTTTATAAATTATGTTCTATAAAAATACGCTGATGAAAATTCTCAGACACTTTTGTCTCAAAGTAATAACTACAAAAAGTTTTACCGTGGCTATAAAAATGGTTTTACTAAATTGAATTACTTGTTTGAGTAATATTCTCTCACAGAACTGAAATGAGAAGCCAGATGTTACTCTCGGTTACTCCAATCACCAAGCTGACTTCAAAGCGTAAACTGACATTGAATCTGAGGCATGGAAAGGAATCTAATCCTTCAACTTCAATGGATACATCATTTTTAAAAAAAAATAAACTAATGAAAATTAATGAAAGAACAATAGATGCCCAAGCAGAAAAAACTTTGCATCGCTTTAAAACACCCTACTAGTGGGGCTTTAGTCAGTAATTAAAGAGATCATAATGGAACCATCCCAGGTAGTGCTGTCCCACTAAAGCTATTAACTATCTTAGAAGCACAATAATATTTCAGTTACATAAATGAGCAGAGTTCTACAGCATGAAATTTTGGAAAAGACTAACCCACCATACTAAAAAAATATTAATAAAATGATGCATTTAAACATATCTATAAGAACCCATTAAACCATAAGAGAAACAATTCCAGTTTTCACCTTAAAAATATGAGTTTTTCAGAGTTAGGACTGTTTTCTCCCTCCCCTCAATATCAGAAACTCTCATAAGCACATCAAAGTCAGCGTTTGGCTTTAAGTCAAATCTACCGATAAATTTGTATTATTGACATAATGACCAGGATAAAACCCAGGTATAGGCAGTTGACTTGAACTAAGTGGAATACAACAAACTGCCTAATATTGGAGAGCTGTCCTGGCAGCCTTCCCACCAACCCAGAAACTGAGCATCCCACACCTGCAGATGCTGGTAAGAGCTGCTGCTAAGTGCTATTTAGTTTAAGCAATCATTAATAAAACAAGTGCAAAATACTAATTAGGTACATTTTACCCATTTCCATGTAAATTGTTTGTTTGTAGCTATTTACTCAGCATTGTTCTCGGCACAATAGAAAAAATGCAAATGACTGAATCAGAATGCAGCCCTAATGGGACTTTCTGTTTATAACCATTAGCCCAGAGGTGTGCTGTAATTCAATCCTCAAGCAGCAAGATTTAGCCTCATTAACAGCTTGCATGGGCAGGTTACAACTCATAAAACCCTACAGTAAACAAAGTATATGGACACAGCACAATATCTTGTCTCTGAGTGACAGAACCCTGATTCCCTATCAGATTGCCTTGATTTACTTTTCTCCTAATGTCCTTTCCCTGGAAAGACAATTCTGCCTGGGCCCTGCAAGGCAGCGGGATGGCACATTGGCTTTGTTTGCTTTCTCACCCTTTAACTTCCCAGAAGGCACAGAGCAACAGTTCTATCAAAAACTTATTTGGTAAAGTACACATCTGAAAGACAACTGGAAAGCTTTCCCCCTGCTCTCATGCACTATAATAGATCAATTAGATTAAATTTCTAGCCAGCCAGCTGATACAGCAACCGATTTTATTTCGGCCCGCGATATTCGGTAACATAAATTACATAGAATTTTACATGAAATGAAAGTGCGCAAATCTCTACTATTTGTAATTTCTGGGATACAGGAATTTGTGGGTTTGATTTAAAGGACTTTTAAGAAGGAATGTGCAAGATTTATATGAAGATTCCCATGTGGTTTAACATCAAACAATTTAATCTACTGTAGCCCACGTAGTGTAAAATAAGGCCAGTTACATGTTTGTGACAAATGTGCCCTAAAGTGAGCAGGCTGATTCCCCCCTCTCCTTTTCTCCCCTCCTCCTGAAAGAGAACTTGTATCCTGAATTATTAGCATAGTCATTAACATCCCAGGGATCTCCAAGCAAACACAGATTATTGTGGCTTGTGTTTGTGCTGATTAAGCCAATCATCACCAGCAGATAAGAGAAAAAACAGCCTAATTCTTGCTTAAATTCAATTCAGGTATTTGAATCCTCGGTAACTGAGCTTGGCACAGGAAACACTGGTGGAAGGAGCAACGAAAGCAAGAACAGAAAAAGTAGGTAGGTTAAGTTTTAAGGTACAGAACAATTATTAAACAGCAAATCATTCCCCTAGATTTCGGAAAGGAAAGCGCTCAGGAGAGGTACAGAAAGGAAAGCGCTCAGGAGAGGTACAGAGGCATGAACATAGATATTAAAAAAAAAAAAAAAAAAAAAAAAAAAAAGGAGACACGAGGAGAAGCTCTGCACCAAGAAAGGACCACGCAAACACACCTACAGCCATTTTTTTCCCCCGTAGAGTTGAAGAGAAAACCCAGTAAAATCTTTCACCCTCTGACATGAACCTGACATGCCAAAGAGACATTAGAGTTTGCTCTGTTATTTTCCCCCCATTACTTTGTAATGGTCTAAAGATCTGCCGTGCGGATGCATGGCGAGGAAAACTTCACCATTTAAGGACAAACTCTTCAAGAATAAGTAATGTAATTCCTTGTTTCCCTCCTATAAAAATGTATTGGTATGCAATTTTTATATTTCACAGTTCACCGACATCTCGGCAAGCTTTCTTCCACTGCTTCAATGGTGCTACTTTTAATTTTATCCTCCTTAGTCCTAGTAATTAAAGTGATCAGCAGTGGCATCCCAACGGCTTTGACACAGCTACAACCCCCTAGCAGACTCCAGCTTTTAAGGGGAAGGGGAAGAAAAAAAGGACGGGAGTTTCATTTCACTGGAACAAGAAAATCAAGCTTCTCCAATCCTCAACTTTATCCAATTGTTCTTTCAGCAGCCTTTGGATCTTAAGAAACAAATAAAAATGGCTGCCATTAGGGGGTCCTTTTTGTACTCGCCGCAGATGGCAGTGACTGACGTTACTTTGGCCAAAAATGATGCTGTGGATTTGGGAAGGTGAATTCGAATGTGAAGCAGTGGCGGGGCAGTTTCCGAGATCATTACCTGGCCAGCAATGCTGGTCTGCGGTGGCAGAAGCTGAGAGCTGACTAACTCAGTAAAATATTGAGAATGGTGGAGTCTTGAAGGGGGGGAAAAAAACTCCAACCACCCCCATAAACCCTGTCTCCTTAAATCACTAAAAATTCTGCAATCTTATCTCAATTTAAAAAAAACAAAAACAAAAAACAAAACAAAACAGAAACCTCTGCCAGGGATTTTCAGTCGTCCTTTGGCAGAATTTTGGGAGGATCCAAACCCAGTTTACACCAGAAGTCTGAGAACATATTGTCCTCTCCCTACACAAAAATATAATCCCATGAGCTGCAATTATTTGATGTTTAAAAAGAAAATTCTTTACTGTGTCCACAGACTGGGGGGGGGGGGACAAGGGGGGAAGGAATCAAATAAAGAAAACCCACCA